ACTCTATAATAAAAATATGTAAAACTAAAATTATTTTATCAAATTTAATTTATTTGGTTTAAAACATAATAAATTTTAAGATTAGATTAAAAAATTTTCATATAAATATAAAAAGTAAAAAAAATAACTATTGCAAAAATAGCATCAAATAGAAAAAGATAAAAAAATTTTCATTCAAATAGAAAAAAGATATAAATTAAGAAAAATGTAATTACAAACTAGATAAAAGTTTAACTAAAATTACACCAATTGTCATTACTTAATTTAAAACTTTTATCTATCAAAATATCTTTAAAGATCAAAACATTTATAAAATTACCATAAAGTAAAACTCATTTTTAGAGAATCAAAGGAAGAGAAGAAAGAGAAACAAAATGGATAGAGTTTACTCTATACCCTCCTTATACTACTTAAGATTTTACTCTTCATAATATAATATATTTGAACAAGATGTGGATTAGAGGTACTCACAAGGTAAATGATAACTGAGCCAATTTATAGCTCTGTCGAAAACTTCGTAAACTGGGTTCACTTTCACTGCATGAAGTAAACAAAATTAGCCAAAACCTTTTTGCAACTAAAAAAAGATACGACCAAGAAATGAAAAGGCATATATATGCACAATTGGAACTCAAATCAAAAGAATTTGTTTTTAAAGTACCATGATATATAGGAGAAGAATCATTAACACAATGGTTTTCCTTATTAATAAAGGAAGACTTTGTCTCTCCACATGAAGCATACCGCCACCACAACTCAATTCCATATGCTAACCAATGCTCGATGTCCAGGTAGGAGAGGTTTTCGTAATTCTTCTCCCATATGGAAGGTGTAAGTGGCATTAGCTCAATACGGCATGAGGGTTTTAACTCAAGTGCAGTTGGGATTCCAATTTTCACATAATAATACCTTTTGCCTTCAGATTTAGGCCTATAAGGTGTGGAGAAAGAGCTGTCATTAATGCAGGCAGGAGCTTCCACATAAAGAGGATCACTTACAGGATTTCCGCAACTTATGAAAAGAATCGTCCCCCTAAAATAAACATAATTTGAATTGGAATGAAAATAATAATAATAATAAGGTGAAAACGGTGAGAAGTTATCGGCGTCCCAAGAACATTGAGGTATGGAGCAGCTCCCTTCTTCAAAACTAGCATCAGCTACTCGAATTGTTTGATTG